CCCACGGCTGCCCCACCCGCCCCAGCTCCCCGTACTTTAAAGAAAAGCCCCGGTGCTCACTGGGTGCTGCCAGGTGGGGGGTGATTTGCCAGCAGCTGAATCTCCAAATCAGATTCAGCCAAATTGAATCGGGACAGTGATTCGAATCACCGAATCGAATCACTGTCCCCTGAATCGGCCGAATCTGAATCCAAAACGAATACTAGCCGCTTTGCACAGGCCTAGCAGCCATGCCACTTGTGGCACCCGTGCTGCAGGTTGGCCACCCCTGCATTATACCATTCCTTTCTTGCATTTGTGCCGTGGCTGAATAGTCATACTCCATACCAATACAAGAAGGTTCAATTTCTAAATTTTCTATCTCTCTGCTCAGACCTAAAGAACAGCCAGACCAGGGCAAATTTAAACTCTTTGAGGAAGATCATCAGTTCATGCAAATTTACTACACTAATTTAAGCTGATGGAGTCAGTCTGATTTCCACCAACTGAAGAGCTGGCTCTGTCCTTTTGCCTCCAAACTGCAACCGCCCCCCCCCCACCCCAAAGAATCCAAAAAACAACAAAACACCACCCAACAAACCCTTGCATTGTTTCCCTTTCTGGGCTCATTTCCACAGTACTTGTTTTCAGCAAGTCCCACTCAACCCCAGAATTTATAAAATGCCTGTGCCTGTGCTCCATCAGAGTTGCACCATACAATGGTATTGCAGGTAAGACAATTAGCACATTGCTTCTGAATATGTACTTAATAAGTTCATCAATCCTTTCCCTTTCCCCAAGGGAGACATGCTTCCAAAAAAGCCTGGGGAGAGATCTTTTTGAAAAAGAGCAAGACAGAACAATCTGTTTGATCTGTTAAATGACTTAAGAATAAATCAAATGATTGATATGGAATTTCAGTTTCCTCTGCCACTTCAGCCAGCCTTTGTAGAACAGGATGAGTTGAAGATGCTCTTGGGAATAAAAAATACTTCATAATATCTTTCCAAATGTAGCTTTTTTCAATTTTTAAAACCATTTTTATAACAATATGCTATGTTGGTTTCTAATCAGTCACAGTCATAAAAATGCTACCCTTCCCTCCTTTCAAGCCACACACAGACTTCACAGCAGCTGCGGGAAATAACTGCATTTATCTGTGTGCATCTGAGCTCATCAAATGTCATGCTTGGCCTGCTACAGGGATGAGATGGCAGCTGACTATAATAACATTTTTAGAGCTGGGTATATTCGTTGTAATGTTCAACACGGTTTGTGTCCCCAGTGTCTTCCATGAATTATTTATATTGTTCTGTAGCATACAGTTGATGAGCCTATTTAATGACTGTGCTTTAAGGGATACTTTTCAGATATGAATTTGCTTCTTGAGATTTAGAAATCACTTGACCCATGACAGCCAATACCTAATAAATCTGACTAATGAAAGCTGATTTGAGAAAGAGTCAAAAGCAGAGAGAAGCCCATGTCCACAAAGGTTAGAAATAACCAGCCATCTAAAATAGGAGCATTGTGTTGTGAATCTGTCTACAGCGGCCATCTACAATGGAATAAATGCATAGCATGGTAGTTTTGCATATTTGGGTAAAAATGGGTTGTGACAAGGGTTTGATAAAGCAGTCGTTAGTGCATATATAGCATGGGGTTTTCAGAAACTCCTGAGAGGGTTAAGTACACACCTCCCAATGATTTACAGTAGAATTTGTGGGGACTAACCCCCCTAGGAAACCCACTGGAAAAGTCCGCTTGTGTGTGTCTGGGTGTGGGCAGATGGGTATGGAGATATGTGAATGTGTGCACATACATGAACACAAACACACACACAAGCTTTGACATCAAAACATTTTAAACTGAAAACTCCCCTCCCCACCCCACCCCCTCTAAGAAATGAAGAAAATGCTTTAAAATATCAGTATCGTCCACATAAAATTGTTGTACTTGATTATCTTTACAGGTGAGCTTAACTCTAGAAACACTGTATATCTTTAATGTCCTGCCTAATCCCTCGTGGATTGGATCTTCCCAGACATGAACCAATGACAAACCCTGAAAATGAAAGAAAACATTAATCCTTTCAAACTGACTCCTTCACATTCAGAAATCTTAACATCATTTGTCTGTGTTCAAACCGTAAGTTCATTTAATTGCTGCTACACTCCCCTGCCTACCTGTACATTATGACTGTGAGCGGAGGTGATCATGTTAGTCAATATGGGTGCAATTCCCCAATGTGCAACCGCAGCTAGTTGACTCTTGCATCTTTTTGGCCCTATAGCAGGGCTGGGCTGGCAGCCAACAAGATGTTTATCCACAAAGGGCATCCACGGACTGGGACTGATTACTAATTTACTTAATTTTTTAGCTGCACACACCCCAGATAGCCCGGTATTTAAGAGGTGGTGCTGATCACCCCACAGCTCCATTCACTTCAGTTACAGATACAGACAATTAGCACATCTGAAATACAGTTTAGTGAACATCTAAAAACATTAACTTTAACCTCTCTATCTGCGTTATGCAGATGACATGATTTCTTAGTTTTTACCTATCAAACCGGGTTTTTCAGAGATTTGCTTAAAGATTCATAAGGCTTTTCAAAGATTTGCTTAAAGGTTCAGAAAGTGATCAGACCTGCTAAGAGCCATAGCAAGTATTGGGAATAATTCTGTAATATTCACAAGGTCTAACTGATTTGACTCATGGTCCAAGAATGAACATGTTTCTGGATGGATATCTTTGCATCTGGAACAGAAGATGTCTTTGTCTAGTAACTTCATTTTGCAAATTGAGATTTAATAATTCATTTTCTAGCTGGCAAAAAAGATTGAAACCACAGATGTGCTGTCCTGTTTGAAGAGATGAGGCTTCATTGGTCTATCACATTTGGTGAGTAATGTGTTTGGCACTGTACAAACACAGGAGGCAAAATTCCTGCCCCATAGAGTTCATCTCTGAATATATTGCTAGACCCCTGGGAACAGCCTCTAGTGCTCATCATCTGCAGAGCAGCAGATGTATAGATATGACATTGCTGATGAGGTCAAGGCACCATCTTGCCGGTCCTTGAATACTGCAAATACTCCAACACTGACAATCCCATTCTCTCACCTGCAGCTTCATCTTCTGCTGGAAGTCTCTAAAATCTGGAGGACAGGGTCCTGAAAGTGGTCGAAGCTAAGGATCCCATCATGTTCTTATCAAATCCTTGCTGCAGAAGGAGGTATGAAAAATATGCCAAATGCAGTTAGTGCAGGTAGAGTCCAAATCAGTATCTACTGTCATCAATCGTAAATCATTCTTCTGTCCTGCCTCAAAACTCTGCCTGCACTCCACAAGTTAGCTCCATATGTCCTTCACAGAAACACTTGGTCATGCTGCATGGCCCCTGTACAACCTTGGGCCTGCACAGAGTTGCATGATATTAATGTCATGTAAATAAATCGTATGTACTGGTAGAATGAGTCTTTCCTACATTGTCTTCCCACTTCTTATAGCAGGACCTTACCATTCCTTGAGGAGAAAGCATTCCTCCCTATGCTAGAAAAAGGGAATTGAGCATGCATGTTTGTTGCACATACATACAATGACCACGTATGGAATATGCAAAAGGAGCTCAGTCTTGCCAAATGGAGGTGGATTAACTTGCCATCCTAAAATGGCTGAAATAAGGTCATGTGCAGCGATATAAAAGAAAATTACTTTTATTCTAAAAATTATGTTCATTTACAATCCACAGGCAGCAGCATCTGCTGTTTGGAAGTTACTTTTCTACTTAGTCACTCCATTTATTCTTGTGTTGCTGCCAGCTTTCCTTGGTATGGGCAAGGAGAACCTTGGTTTGGTCAAAGAGGACTGTTTAGAGGCTAGTCTATTCTATGTGGGCTTCCAGAAACTGCAGGTTTGGGGATTCTGCTAAGGAAGCTGGGAACAAGACAATTCCTGGATATATTTCTTGCTGCTCTGAAGATTAGTCTAAGTCTGACATGGAAAGGTGGTCGCAGAGCAAGTCTCTGGACAAGCAGAAGAAAGGGAGAAAAAAAAGCCTTGATGTTGTATCTATCAGTTGGCTTCCATGAACTCATGTGAGATAGTCCCCATGACCAGCTTCTGCCACTTACACTTGCTTTGGACAAGATGTTGGAGTTGCTCCTAACGTGTACCAGCGTACACGGAAGGAGGGCCAGGTCTGGATGTCTAAGGACAATAAGGGTGACATTCTACTCTTTCCTAGTTGTCCGAGTGGCCATTTTTTGGCACTTGTGCACCCAGAGTTATTCTATTCCCTAACTCATAGGCCTGCACATGGACAACTACAGGCTGCTACTAAGTTGCACAGACAGAGCATACGCCGTAGTGGCTATAGCATGTACACGTGTGGCCCTTGGGGAAGGACAGCATCCTTAAACACTTAAAAATGGAGTTAGCCCAAACCTGTGACAGCCAGACTTAGACTGAAGAACAGTAAAGAAGTGTCCATCTGTCCCCTTCCTCCCAGCTCACTGGCACTCATTTGGAAAGCTGGAGGTCTCGAGTTCTTGCTATCGGGATCCTGAGGGGGTTTGCGCTAGGGAATCTCAGACTTCCCAGTAAAGTACTCTAACCATCACACCACAGCTCAGCCTTTATCTAGCCCCCTCTTTGGTACTCTTTTTGAAGCTGAGCCACTAATATAGTCATTAGAAAAAATGGATGGAGGGCTGTGCAGGGGGGGGAAGCTTCTACCATATTGCAGGCAAGGGAGCCAAGCCCCTTCCTCCTCCCCTTCCTTTCCAGTCCAGTAGCTACCTCACCTCTGCCTTCCCAAGTGTGTGTCCTAGTCATGTAGCTATTTGGGGTAAAAGATGAGCAGCACCTCTGTCTCTGTCAGTTTTGGTGGTGTGAGCCTGAATAATTACTTGGTTATCCATAGATGCCCAAGAATGGAATTTCCCTGGACACGTAAATGCCAAAATGCCCTGGGCAAGTCCAGCTCTATGAGTCTATTAGCTGTAAAATAGAAAAAAAAACACATTTTTCTTACCTGTTTGAGCACACTCTGCAGCTCCCTATTTGACCAAAGGTCACTCAGTAGGAGACGAGCAGCCTCAGCGGCTTTTGGGCAGGAGCTGGAAGGATGAAAGGAACCCACTGAATTTTGGCTGGCCAGAGACCAGCAACTCTCACAACCCAAGCGCCATCCACAAAGAAGGACACATGTGATGTCTGCATGGGGATGAGCTAGCCATGCTGAAAATTATTCAACCAAGACCTTGTGCACTGCCTTGAAGAGATCATTTGGCACCCAGCTGTTGGTATGCAAAGGGGGCAAGCACAAAGGAAGGAGGGGAGTTGGGCTGTGGCCCAGATGAATGGGACTGCACTAAGCTAAAGAGACATTCTTGAGGTGTGGAATTGAAGGGATTGAAAAACAGGAAGGAAATTGGACAGTCTCATTGCTGGATTTATGCAGATGTGGGCTGATTGGACTACTCAGTAGTGCACAGGAATAACCCTGTATACCACAGTATCAGCCCTTCTTTCTGCCAGGAGAAGCATTTCTCTGACTCAAAGCAAACTGCTGCTGCTATCTAACAGAAGATGTGTGGGGTCAACTAGGCCTCCAGCTGGCTGCTGCAGTCCCCTGAACTGTCCAATGGAAATGCAGGAGCTATGACTTGAATAAAAATAGCAACAATAATACATGGTAATCATGAAATCTTTACTCAGCAAATGGTAATGGGGGTTTGCCCACCTAAAAACTGAACTGCATCTTCCTATGACTTTGGGTCATAACTGGCTCAGAGCTTCACTGCCTGTTCTTATCGCTATGACTGGCCAACTATAAATGCTGGCACTGGCGACAGGTAGGGGGTGCATGCGGGTGCACATGCACCCCGAGGTCGGCCATGCACCCCTTGGAAGCACCAGCCGCAAAACTGGCGATTGGCCACTGAGGGACTCGCTCCTTCCCCCCATCGGCAATCTGGTGTCCCCCCAGACTCGGGATGCACCAGTCGCTCATGAATGCTGGACACCCTATACACTGGATAAGCTCTAAACTGGTTCAGACTCTGCAGCTTGGACCCTTTCCTATACCAACCCTGGATCATGAGGTTCTGCAAAACAAAACCAGACAGGGAGCTGCCCAGCTCTAAAAATAATGCAGCTGGACAAAGCTACACTTCAGCTGCTGGTTGGACTACAGCCTGTATTACATTACAGTGTGTCCACACTCCCAGCTCCCCTACCACAACAGCAGCCTTTGTTTCTGCCACGAGAGCAATACCATGTCTCTGACTGAAAGAAAGCTGCTGCTGCTGCTGCTGCTGCTGCTGCTACCTAACAGGAGATGCATGCAGTCAACTAGGCCTCCAGCTGGCTGCTATAGTCCCCTGAACTGCCAGTGCCTCCAATGGTATACCACGTGCCTTGCTGGCATAACTGCTGTACTGAAGCCATGCAGCACTACCAACAGCTGTGAGGATGTGCAGGCTCTCTGTTGGCTTCCATATAGTGACTGCTGTCTGGCAGCAAAACCTCTATTGGCAGAATCCTTGTAATACAGACACGGCCCATGTGAAATGAACTCAACTGATGACTAATTCCACCAAACAGCTTAAAAAATGTACAGTGCCAGGCAGTACACGCTCATGCAGCTTATACTAGAGCTATACAAAGCCCATGGATACTTGATTCTGAAAATCTTGTGGTCTGTGAGGAGCTCAGGCCTCCACCCAGTCGATCACGACAGAGATTCTATAAAAAGGAGCAGATTAAGGTCCTGATCCAATTCCCACCATTGCCTTTAATGGGAAGCTCAACAAGGTGCTGCGTGGGGACTGCATCAGATGTAACGCAATAAATCCTCCTGTAGGCCTAGGCAAGCTTCTTGGAGTCTGACTGTTCATTAACTTCTAAAGCTCCATTTTGGTTTTGGAAAATTAGATTTAGTTTGCAGACCTCTTCTACCGTGATTTAAACCAAAATTTCCCCCATGGTCAATTTAGTTTTTGGCCAAGATGCGGCCTGTCATCTTTTTTCATGACAGAGGGTCAATCCGAAAGACAGACCGGTACAAGAGCCTGCCCTATATTTCTTCATTTGGATTTTCCTTTCCTCCTTTCCACTGTTTTGTTTGTAGCTTCTCAATATTGGTCTTTTTCGTGCTGCCCCAATCTCTGCATTTTTCCCACGGTGTCTCCAGAGCAGAGCACAAACTTGGAACCATTTCTTGTCGGGGTAAATTTTCCAACTTATGATGTTTGAGTTGGTTCTTGCTCAAGGGAAAGGAGACTGTCCAACCTAACTGTTTAGACACCCATCATTAATTACACTAATTGATAGCAACAAGGTACCAGTAGAATCTAGTGGGCAAAGCGGCATACTGGGACTTGAGAGGCCTGGGGTCCATTTCCATTGCTGCCTCTGGCTTGCTGGGTGACCTTGGGCAAATCACTTCCACTGTCTGGGCCTTAGTTCTAGTCTGCTCCTCACCAAGACTCACCCATTTCGGCAGAGGCTTAATACATTATTTATCACGTTGCTTGTCAAGTAGGATTTGCCCAGGTGTGGGTTGGACATGATGAGGTTCCTCAGAGTGTAGCAAGCTGATGACATGATCTCTCCATAGGTGTTGGTGTTTGCACTCTGGAAGGACAGGAGACGCGACACATCTGGAAGCACCTGGTGAGCTAAAGACGGAATG